TCAGAATGTGCGACTATGAGCCAACTTTTCCTCGTGGCACAGATCTACCAAATGCAAGGCCAGCAACTTTAACTCTTCACATCCTGTTTTCCTGTGTTACATACTGCCAAGCTAAGTCACATTGTTTCACGCTCTAAACCGGTGACTGTTATTCATGCATTTATTTCATCACATCTGGCTTTATTGTTCACTTGTTTAGGCAGAAACTCTAGAATGGCGTACTCTCACATCACACTGTTGCTGATCCAGCTCCCTGATGAATCCAGGGTCCATTTTAAGACTCTGGGTTTGACTTTTAGAGCTTTTCATAGGCAAACATCATCTTACATGAGCAAACTTTTAGATCCCTGAGTTCATGTGATCAGGGCCTGCTGGCTGAGTGTCTTAGGAACTCGTCTTCTTTACGAAAACTAAGACAGTTTTGGGCCTCTGGAACACTCTCCTTCTGAGAGATCTGTGACTGGAACTTGAGAATTTATATTCTGGTGTTTTGTTTGAAGCACTTTGTGATGTTTATGTAGAAAGGTGCAATAGAAATCAAATTTTACACACTTGCTTACTTACAGAGAGTGCACCCGAGGTGGCTTCTGCAACTTCATGCATCTGAAACCAATATCAAGGGAACTGAGGAGGGAGCTGTACGGCCGTCGCAGGAAAAGGTACTGTAAAGCCTGAGAGCAAGACAACTGCTTTTGTGTATGGCTTTTAAATTTGAAAGTAAATATCTTTTGCTCTCTTCTTTACCAGACACCGCTCACGCTCGCGCTCCCGGGAACGACGCTCCCGCTCCAGGGATCGACGGCGGGACCGCGAGAGGCGGAGGTCGAGGGATCGAGAACGCTCCGGAAGATTCTGAAAGTAGACGAGATGGACCTACCCAAATTCTTCCCCTAAAGCCCAACAGTGATGACAGTTATTTTGTTTTTTGTTTTTTTGTGAATTGTTGGAAGTGTTCTTTCTCTTATTCCCTTTTTTTTAAGACAAGCTTGTGCCGCTTTCTCAATAAAAAACAGATTTGTAACTGCATCTGGACCGCTTTTCTTCAAGACTCAATCCTATTCTAGGAAGGATTTTATTATGATTTATTATCACTCTGCTATACGACTCTGGATACTGTAGCTCCAGTGAAAGCTAAGGTCTCTAATCAGAAGTACCTGACTCCGTGGTATAATTCTCAAATACGTACCCTAAAGCAGATGACTCGTAATCTGGAGAGGAAATGGCGTGTCACAAATTTAGAGGATCATCATTTAGCCTGGAGAAATAGTTTGTT